ACGATTGTGCATAGAGTGGGCACTCCCTGCCCCAAACATTACTGCAGCATCACCCACGCATGTGATATTTCATCAACACGACACTGTGATATTAATCTATAGTGGATTGTTTATAAAGGTAGCTAATGTGTTACGTTACTTTAGCATTGCCAATTCGAACAGATGACTCTGATTGAGATATCACATTGGATTTTGCATAGTTATCTAACCAACTATCTGATATCCTCATTTGTTAATTTTGTTAATTTGGTTAATGTATAGTTGGTTTAAGATACATGTTCTACATCTTGCTGGTCATGCCTTTCGTACCTATATCGTATCCTTGCGATTGTGCGTTGTGAATGCCTGCCCTCTCCAGAATTTCGGGACCATCCGCTCTATCTCCGACGTCTGCGCGTTGTACTCGCTCGGTGACTAGAGACACCTTGTCACGGTGCTAGTGATGGAGTTTCTGGCACGCTGCGAGGAAGACCCAGGTGGATTTCTTCATGTGTACATTGACATAGGGATGCAATGAAGAAACAAATTCTTGATTTTTTTATTTTTTTTACCCCTTGATTATTGAAATAAATATATATTACTATATATAATTGTACCTCATATATTATATATATATATTGAAATAGTATATCGTTATAGGAATAATATGATTTAAATATATATAGTACACGACACTAAAAGGAATTATATCAAACACTAGTAGATAGTAGTAGTACTAGTAGTTCGATTAATGTCTGTCCATATAACCTTTTTCGATATTTTGGTGAGGGTATTGGGCCAATAACCTCACCAAAATATGAAAAAGGTTATATGGCGGACCAGAATTATTTCGCGTCTATAGTTAGGTGCAGGCAGTGCAATTTTAATTCATAACAGTAAAAAGCCCGCTCTCAATACCCAACGTTAATTCAATCAAAACATGATGAACGTAAAAATAATATTATTAATAATAATAACAACTCCATGGCACAGCATGATAAAGTTGTAATCGTGTCACAAGACACAACGAATCGCGACAATCTTGTCCGTGTGTGACAACACACGGAACTATATTGTGATAAATCAATTGGTTATATTTAGGTAGTCGTATATATATATCGTGACAGTTAACGTATTGATGGCAATGATGCCTAAATACGTGACACTAAACTATCACTAGGATCAGTATCATGTCATGTGGCGATACACGCGCGTATCTGGCCCAATTTTGTTATCTTATCTATGATTCTCACTCACCTTTCTGTATGTGTACATATGCGCTGACTTTCTTGGAATTCTGAAATATCACTTACTGATTCTATGACGGTAAATAACACAGTGAGAATTAACAACACTGATACTTTACACTCGTCTGCGTCTATACTAATCGTACACACATCAACATCTGCGGTCCGCACAATTTTCTGCGCACTTCGCTTAAACTTGTCCTCAATACCCTTCCTTTACTGTTGTTGTGGTCGGATGGGGCCGACGGGAACGTTTGGAATCCGCCATCTCTATTTACTTTATTCTCGTTTGGCGTGACCTATTAACTCTTTCTTCGTCCGTGTACTGACCTCCACGTCAACCGCGTTAAAGCTCTCCGCGCTCTGTAGACATAGGGGTTATTATGCTGGTTATACGCGTACAGTAGCTGGGTGGTAGCAGTAGTCCTGGCGTGCAGATCGTACCAGGCGCTCGCATCCCGGTGGACGGGATGAAGTTGGAGCTGGGTCGCTCGCGTTCTACCGTCGGTGCTCTTCCATGAATGAGTGTGAGTACTTCCCGCCCACGCGTCCGTAGCATGCGTCATCCATGCGTTAGTCATCGCCGACTAGCGCGGAGGCAGGAGGCTGCGGAGTGCAAGCACGCGACAATATCACCATGGTGATAGCATCCTCACACGGATGTTTGCCTCTCGAGGTTTCGATGCTCGCTCTCGCATGCAACCCGCCACTAACAACAATATATTCTGCGAACATATTCCATGAATATCTTGACCCTCATTGCTATCATTATTTCTAAGTTATTACCTTTTTCGTGACAATTTCGGTAATCTTAGTTCCGCTGTTGATTCATCAAAGACAGAGAGAAGGGGAGAGCGAGAGGGAGAGAGAAAGCAGAGCCAGAGCAGAGAGAGGATAGGCGAGAGAGCGAGAGAGCGCGAGAGGAGAGCGAGAGAGAGCGAGAGGAAAAGAGAGAGCAGAGAGAGAGAGTAGAGAGCAGAGAGGAGACGCAGGAAAGAGAGACGAGGCAGAGCATGAGGAAGGAGAGAGTGATGGAGCCGTCAACGTGGACAGACTTTGGAGCCTCCCAGAAGAGAGAAAGACGTGTTAAGCTCTCCTGGAGGAGAGCGACGGGGAGAGCAGAGCTTCTCGGAAGTGAGAGGTACTCTTGCATGACCAGAACAGGGAGACGAGAAAGAAGAAGAGAAAGAGAGAGGAGAAGGGAAGAGAGGAAGTGACTGAGTGGGAGCGGGATGAGAGGGGTCACTCCATTAATTAGAGCGCCCAGACCAGGCCTTCTCCTTACCGCTGGGCGGCAGACTCGCCCGTATAACGAATCGGTTCCACGAATAGGCGTCGAACACTTGGTTAGGCGCTACAGCCAGTTCCATTGCTCCTCCATGACATGCGAGCACTGCCCCTAATAAGCGTATCCTGTCGGAATGGATTTCCATTATTCCCGCCCTCGGTTCGAGGCAGGGTAGCTGCTCCTCTACTCCTCCGATCTAGTCTCCTCGGTGTCAAGCCCATCTCACGCTCGTCATATATAGAAGCAGGGCGACGGACAAGACCAGAGATACTAACAAGGCGCGACTCCGAGTAGCCAGAAAGGAGCGGCACCAGGAAGAAACTCAAGCTCGAAGTAATAATAGCGAAGAATCGGATGTAGACAGAAGAGTATGGAAGAGATCAAGGGAGAACAGCTCTAGAGGAGAGAGAGAGAGAGGGGGCGGGGGGGGGGGGGGGGGGCGGGGGGGGGGGGGGGGGCGGGGGGGGGGGGGGGGGGGGGGGGGGGGGGGGGGGGGGGGGGGGGGGGGGGGGGGTGAGAGAGGAGAGAGACGAGAGAGAGAGAGAGAGAGAAGAGAGAAAGCAGAGAGAGAGAGAGGAGAGAGAGAGGAGAGAGAAGAGCAGAGAGAGAAGAGAGAAGAGAGAGAGAGGAGAAAGAGCGCAGGAGTGAAGAGAAACAAGTTGATAATAATCGACACGTCACACAGATGATCGTCTTCTCGCCTTTCTTGAATAACGGTTCATAGCTATAAAATGTCGGAAATTAGTTATGTCGACATAATCCAGACTGTCGCTTAACATTTTCACGCTAAGTTTTTGCGGGTAAAAGTTATGTGA